TTCCTACTTCAAGTTTAAACACTTTTGTGCTAAGTGTTTAGTATTCTATTGATGTTGCCAATAAACTTTATTTGGTTGTGAATTCCATATATTACGAACAATCACTTAGGTTGTTATTCATTGCGTTTAAATCGGTCAAGTGGGAATTTTTATTTGAGTTTTAATATAATATAATTACCTACGTATTACATATTTAATCATATAAAGTATTAAAATAAAATAAAATCACACTGCTACAGTAATAATAATAGTAAGAATAAGTACAAAACTGATTTATAATGACTTAATATTAAGGTTTTTTTTATATTCCATATTGTCATAATGCCTCCGTCATCGAAGTAATTAAAATTATCAAAACTTATATATATAAATATATAGAACTAATATGATTCATGATAAATCAATTATCATAAACTTTCATACTGTTTATAGCGTGCTAGCGGTACTTGAAAGCAATCAAAAAGCTTTAAAAGTTCATTGCCTGAGCTAATTGTGGTCCATCATCAATAGCCTACTTTTGAAATTCTTGTTAGGTCTTACATTTATTTTTGTAATCGTTTAAGTTTTGGTTGAAGGAAAATAATATAAATCTTCTAAATATATATTTTTTGTTATTGTTCTTACTTACTGTTCTGTAACTTCTATTAGACTTTACGTCTATAAGGCTTGCATTGCTCAGACGCACCCTTAAATAATTAATTTGTGGCAATAAAATGGAGTTATTGTTACTTGCCAATAAGTCACTTTATTGCCCAAAAAAAGGTCTTTATGCAGAAATTTAATGACAATATGTTTGCTGAGTGAAAGTAGAAAAAAAAACAAAAACATTTTTTTTACAATGTTTTTGCGATAAGTATAGAAAGTGGGTAAAATTTGCTCATTACACGCCACTCTTCGATGAAATGATTACATTTTCATAATACATATCTAATAACAATACAAAAATGTGTGCTGTGTAAAAATAGATAAATACTAACATAAAACACAGTTTACGTTAGCCAAATAGAATTCCCAGATGCTTAGGTATTACTTATATATTTTTAATTACTATAAAACTATTTAAAATTATAGTATTTATTTTAAATAAAGACATATTATAGAAAGAATGTAGATTATATATCAAAATCCATTACACGCAGTAAGAAATAAACTTTTTATGAACAACATTCAGAATGCTGTTACAGATAAAGTGCTTATTTTTATAGGCTAAATAATGTATCTAGATATGAATTGGTAAAGAAAAACTGAACCAGGCCAAAAAAGAAGTGGAAACTATTTATGTAATAAATAAACATCACCATCATCTCCCTGCCCATTTCCCAATTACTTGGTTCGGCGCAGCACGTCTTTCGTACTGCTGATAGGGTTAGGCAAAAGTTTCACGACCGGCCGCCTGCCTGACATCAAACCTCCTTGGGAATGCTATTGTTTATCACGGACTTATAATATGCACATTCGATATTGTTTTTTTTTAATATTTTTTATATAATTATTCAAAGTTTTAATGTAATCTTTTGATATATTTTGAAATAAATTTAGGACACACAATAAATTTTGTTTTGACGATATTATAATAAATAAACACATTTTAGAATATATACTTAAAATATTTTTCTTTATTAATTATTATCGCATTTTATTTTCTGCCAGTATAAAGACGTTTTATTTTGGCTGATAGTATGTACGGTATCAATTCCTATGTAAGTGTCCCTATCTAGTAGATGATTATCGATATTCGATATAAACATTCACCCCTTGTAGGGAAGACGTGTGTAATAGACAAATTAACAGGCAGACGCACCGAAGGACTAATCGGAATATCGGAATAAACCGAAACCATTTAGAAGAATATTCTCATCGTTTAGGAAAATCCAAAGAAAATTATTAACATTTTTTTTATTTCATTTGAAAAACTAAAAAACAATCTTGTAGTATATGACTATCTAAAGCATATGTATCGATAAGACAAAGGATGAAGTCAGCGTGAACTATTCTATCTAATTAACAAGTATACGTAAATTCTACAATATTTTAACATGTAAACTTTTTTTATATGTTAATTTGACTGCTAAAGAAGCTATTCAACATTACTTAGCGCACTTATTAGAATGTTGTGTAATATATTTATCAAATCTGTTTTCCAATCGTGATCATCATGGTTCGCAAGATCACTTATTAAATTTCTATTAACACAGACTACATCTAAAGGACTGCACTATCGTATAACGGAAATTTCCCTTTTGTTGTATTATTACAACTTAAACTAGAGCAAAAAAACAATTATAAAGTATAATAACTAAAACCTTAATGCATAATAAAAACATATCTAGGAAGTAAACTCTATTAAAATTCAAGCGACAGTAGCCAAGTAACACTTGTGCTCTACAGTGATTGTTAAGTTGGTTAACGTATGAAATACAAAGTACTTAGATACAGCACATAGTTTTTCATGTAAGTATAACAATATAACATATCGTGACTTTTTTACTTCATTGTCTTTCATTTGTTGTAAGTCTTATTTATGGATTAACATACTAAGCTTTATAAAAATGTAACTTAATATATAACTAGTATCGGTTCATCAACTATAAAGAGATAATAATTTGTGGGTTATCGGAAAGATCATTATACACTTATGTATATATTCACGTAAATAGTACGTATTCATAATCAGAGAAATGCTAATGACAGCTAATAAAGTATTTATTGCATAAGAATGAAAGAGTGAACGGCAATAAATAGATAAATATAGATATATTGAACAAGTAAGTTTATTGTCAATGTCATAAAAACTGAAATGACAAAACACATATTAGCAAAATCTTTAAAAAAAAATCTTTGAAAATATTATATATATTTACTTGCGTTTTCCTGCGGCTCCGCCCGCATAGTACGTTAATCACCATCATATCACATACTAAAACCTTCTCCGAAACACGCTACATCTTATGGTATGAGTATTATTCCGATCGTTTCAGTAGTTATCGCAGTCCGAAATGTGTTAGTTAATATTTCTTTCTTGCTTATTTAAGGATAATTTATGAGGAGGTGAACCTATATTTCGATATAGAGACTACTATTTGTCCCGGTACGTCATGCGGTTTTATCATAGATTCATATCATTACTCTGCTTATACTCCTGTGTATAACAAATTTATTAAAGAAAACGGAAATAAATTTATTGAAGGTCACCTATCTAGTTGCCTTTAGCATCTAATGGCCTCTATGTAATGTCTAACTTTAGACTTCTAGAGATTGCTTGTTTGGTTTTAGTTTCTAATATTATACGTCTTATACTATTGGATAATATTGGATAAAATTGCAAATTGTCACCCGGTAGAGCCCAGTGCATGTAGAGTTAGGAATTCAGACAGAACAGTTCATTGAATGATAAATTCTAACTATAGGCTTTAATATAAATGATATGTTTGTTTAAACACAACTTATAGTAATTATAAAGTCTAGTTCCGATTTCCAGAAATATAAATCATAGGTTTACCTATTGCTCTCAGCAAGGCAAGCCACTCAATGTAACCTCCGTCTAATTTTAATGTGAGCAGAATTCATTCCGCTACGATCGACCTTTGCTAAATGTTTGAACTTTGCTATATAAGTGAATTCTATAATCTGATGATGATTTTGTAGAGTTCTTTAACATTCTAAAACAATTAATTAATTATATTAATATTATTTATCACATTTTATAGCTTAAGTTGTCTCATAAACTAAAAAACAATAAACAAGCTTTGTACAAGATATTATATTTTTAATTTGTTAATATTTTTTTCCAAAATATCTGGCCAATAGCCTAGAGTCTAGACCAAAGCTTTTTAAACAATAAAAACGTTTTTGTGTAATAAAAATGGTGATCCCATTTTAGAGAAGAATTATAAATATACAGGCTTCATTTTTGCATATACAATAACGGAATCCTAAAAATAAGGTTTCAAAAGTTTTTCTTTTGAAAAAAATGTAAATTGGTACCTTTATTAATATTAATAAAGAAAAGACTATTAATTTCGCATTTTCATTAAAATCTTATGTTTGGCTCTGTTTATAGTGACCCTACTAACTACTTTCTGTGCCAACGGTCGCGGGTTCGAGTCCCGCTGGAGGCATTCATTTGTGTGATGACGAAGGTTTGTACTCCAGTCATGGGTGTTTATATTTATAATACGTATGTATTTAAAGTTATATATGTGTAGTGTATCAACTATCTGGTATCCATAACACAGGAGTCGTAGCTTACCATGGGACTAGATGGTGCTGTGTGTTAATATCCAAACGTATTTATTTATTATTTATTTACGAAACTGCTTCTTATACATATTACGTATCATTGACGATGTAATTGTAATTAGGTAATTTGATATTGTTTTTATTTTGAGTGCAGAGTAAATATTTGTTTTATGTAAACGACTTAAGGGAATATAATCTAATAATAAATACATATATCGGTAACGAGATAAAAGGGCTTCTGTACTTGCTACAGCAAGCTGTCTTTCATCAATACGTATAAGTACTTCATGCATCAATTTAGATCCAAGAGCACATGTAAAAGTACCTTTATACTAGACTCCTTACTAAGTACAAGAGCGCAGCGTCTAGATAAGGTTTTGTAATATATTGTCCGAAATTGAGTTTATGTATTATTATTATTAGTTATTTAGACAAAATTATATTTAGAGTATAAATATATTTTTTATATATTTATATTGGTGTAGGTAATAGAAATAAAATATATGTAATTATATATTGAATACATATTAATATTTTAAGCCACAATATTATATTTTTCACTTTTTCACATTTTCTTATTAGTAGGTACAACATTACCTATTTTTAAGAAATATCCTTCCATATTAAATAAATAGATAACTATTTAAAAAATAGGATAATCGTATCCTATGCGTATGTATAATATTTAACTATTACCATTGCTTTTAGATAAAGTTTTGACGTTATAATAAAGTAATTACTACCTAATTGCAACGGATTAGAAAGCGAAGAGGGGCGGCGGCGCTGACGGCGAGACGCGAGCACGGCGACGCAAGCGCACGCAGCCTCAGAGCGACGCGCACGTGTGGCACTCCGCACTCCGCGCTCACAGCCCGCACTGACTCCGCGCCCGCGCCCGCGCTCGCCTCCGCCTCCGCCTTGACATCGAGCTTGACCCTCGTATAAAGCGGAGCCCCGCGCGAACTCGCACGCAGTCACGACCCGACCACGATCTCATACATTCACCCGGCTTTCACGCGATACTCGATATCAGTTACTATATCGATAGTGATACTAACTGTGATGGCAAATCAGGAATGGGGGTACACCGTTGAAAATGGTGAGTGCACTGACTTACACTATAAGTTTACAAAGAACTGATAAGGCAGTTAATGTGTAGAACCGGTTTGTTTACAACACAGCACGTGATGAACCTACTTTTGAAAAAAAAGTAAATAATGCTAAATAGCCCTTTCGCAAGCGTTTCGATAAAATAACTGGTTTGAGAGATAAAATGACTGTAAATAATTTTAATTAAAATCGGCAAGTACTTTATGTAAATTAAATGAGTCATAAACAATAAAATGTGACGTTTTGTCAGGGTTTTACACAAGCATGTCGAAATTTGTAACATTCGTATCACAATCACACCTGTTGATTTGTTTGGTAATGCGACACTGTTTACATGAATATTAGACTATTTTATTATTCTTAAATAAATATACCTATGTGGCTTATTAAAATACATAAAGAAATACTCAATGCTATTTATTTATCTGACATTAAATACTTAAAAGTTCATTATTTTAACTCCAAAGAGTAATTTGTGTTTTGATACATTGGATTATGTAAGAAGAATTGTATCTTTTAAAATAAAATACCTACGTCAAGTACAAGGCAAACGGTTATAATTTGATAAAGTAAGCTGAAGTACTGAAGTTAATCGAACATCACTTTTCCTTGTCCGGTATACAAATAATGTCGTGTGAATTGAAACAAAGTAACAATCGTGCATATTATAAATAACAATAATAACATTATTTATTGTTTACTGTATATATATATATATATATATATATATATATATATATATATATATATATATATATATATATATATATATATATATATACACACACATATTACTACAAATAGTACCGAAAATATCAAGTGCGTGCAACGAGTATTGGCCTATTTTAACAGTTGAGAACAAAACTTAGCTTTGAGTTTAAAAGAAATTAATGACGTACCGTAAATCGAAAAGAAAATGCATAAATACTTAGATTGTAATTGCGAATCCACAGAACATATATTTTTATATTCTATCAATAAGTAGGTACCTATATTGTCCCTTGTTTTGCTATAAAGTTATTTTGTATGTTTCACTAGTCAATCGGCTGCATTATTAAATCTGATTTGGAAACGCAAAAAATATATGACGCAAAGTATATTTTGTAATAAATATAAGATGTGTAAGGATTATTTAAATATAAAAATAGCAATGAAACAATTGGTTAAATCTTAAAGATAATAATACCTATTAACTATTATTTGACTTATTGCAATAGTCTTTCAATTTATTTTATTATTAGCATTGTCCGCGGCTCTGCCCGCGTTCATATAACCAAAACCGAATTCTTAGGTTCTACATATTAATTTACTCTTACATTGCAGTTTTGGTATCTTTTCTCAGAAATGAGATAGTTTCCCGCGGTAAAAAGTATCCTATATGTTGACCCGGATAACCAGCTATCATCATACCAAATTTCATCAAAATCCCTCCAGTGGTTTTTCCGTGATGCGGTAACAGACAGACAGACAGACAAAAATTCTAAAAACTATAGATTCGGCCTCTGTATCGATAATAATGTCTATTTCAATAGGATTTTCCAAAAAATATTTAATGTACAGATTCGCTTAGTTTCAATTTTATTATATGTATAGATTATGGAAATGGTTCTGAAAGATATTTTATTCACATTCTAGCTATACCTAATAGGCTAATAACTATTTACAAAATATAATTTATTCATGTCTGACATGTCTAAATAAAGTAACTTGTTATTATTTCCAAACAGCCATTATTAAAAATATTTCTTCGACTTAAATACTATTGTTATAGATTGTCGTCATTTAGCTGGACTTGTTCTTAACAAAGCTAATTTATTCGCTAAAATCATGATAATACTTAAATTCAAGGTTGTTTTTTTCAACGAGTTTGAGCGAATATTTAATACGAAAATCTTCCTGTTTTCCACTTTTTTAGGGTTCCGTACATCCGATGTAAAAACGAAATTCGTTGATAACTAACTATACGAATATTACTTGGATCGCTTTGTATGTCTGACTGTGGCAACGTAATTACTGATGATTTGAATTGGGTACATATTATACCTATTGAAGTAATCCAATACATCATACATACTTATATAACAACTAGCGGCTCACCCTCGCTTGGCTCGGGTTCGCCTCTAGAAAAGCACGAACAGATCTATCCCACGGGAAACGTTCATTTTTCTGGGATAAAAAGTAACCTGTTGTTTGACCGGCAATATAAGATATCAGCGTGCCAAATTTTACTAAATTATGTGCATAAGTTGTTGTTTACTAAGCAGTATGAGTTACTAATTTTTTTAAATATCCCACGGGAACTCTATAATTTTCCGGGATGCAAAGTATCTAATATGTTGACCGGGGGTATAAGGTACCACACCGCCATGCAAAATTTCATTTAAATTGGTCCACCAGTTTCGGAGATTAGCCCGTATAAACAGAGAAACAAAAAAAATAAAAAAATCTGGATTTGTTCTATTTCTCTTCTTACGTCCCCCGGACTCGGTTTTTAGCATTTTTTTTCTATGTACAGACATTCGACCTCTACAGTTTTATTATACGTATAGATTTTGTATTTCGCTGTACATCTGGAACATGAGCTTAGAAATTTCATTAAACTGAACGGATATATAGTCTCACTTATAGCTTACAGGAAAATTTAAACGAAAATCGCCAGTCTTTATAATACTTTAAAAGACGGAATCCTTCTTCACGCATGATTTGCATGATTAACATTTTATGATATTGATGCAAAAGAAAACATAAAAAAATATAATGTATACATTATATTTAACTTATTATTACATATTTCATATTTTGCAAACATACCTACCCTAAAATCTTTGGATATTAATAGTCGTTTTTTTACCGGAACCCTAATTCTTTTTTAAAATAAAATTAGCCTAAGTTACTCTTTATAACATCTTTATATATCTGCACGTGAAAGTCCCGTCAAAATCGGTCCGCCGTTTCGGAGATTAGCTAAAACAAAAAGACAGACAGACACAAAAATCTTAAACATTGATTTTTCTTATAAGTACTGTATATAATTCCATAGTAAGAAGCTGTTATTTTACAAACAGACACTTTAATTTTATTTATCTGTATAGAATCATAGATACATATATGTAGGTATGTGTAAATTTACTGCCCTCCCATAGATACTGTAGATTGACTTGACTCCCTCATATATAATTATCTTTAATTGGTATACGACTTTCATCCTTGCTCATGACAAGCCCTTAGATCACGACCTGTTACTCCTCAGCTACTCTGTAACTTGTGATACTTTTAAACGTCCTCTAATATACCGCTTATCTTGTCCCTCTTTCATCCGCATTTATAGGAATACTTTTATTGTTAAATCAATTTATATTTATCCTGTGATCAAACCGCTGGAACTAAAAGGCTAAAATTTAGAAAATCCATTCCATTCATTTACTTAAAAAATAGATTTATTAGAAGAACTAGCGACTTACCCTCGCTTCGCTCGGATGCGCCTCTAGGTACGTTTTAAATAGATATAAATAGTTATTGCGAGTCTACCATAAATAAGTCTTTCTCATAAGAGAAAAACTTATTTATGGTATTGAAGATTTTTCTGTAGGCCTTTTTAAGACGTACAATTTTCTAATACATTGTTTTGATATATCTCTTAAGTTTAACCATATAAATTTCTAAGGACGACTCGATAGAATCAGTTATGATGTTAGATGTTTTGCTAAGGCGTGAAAGATTTTCCTGTATTAAAAGGGTATCCTAAATGTTGACCCGAGTGATAAACTATTATTACAGAAAATTTAGTTACAATCGGTTCAGTACTTTTTTCGTGAAACGCACTTATCGATTTGACTAAGTTAGTCTTATTATAGGTATAGATAAGAATAGGTAATGCGAGTGTACCTTAGGAGTTAGGAGATACACATGATGTTCTCCTGACCGATTCCGGCCACGGCGGCCAATCTCATTGAGACTAGCCAACTGCGCAGGAGATATTATAGTGCACAAGTGTACGCGCAGGCATAGGTGCACTCTCTATTCCTGTCATTCTCATACTCCGGTGGGACGACTGCTCGACACGACCAGTGAGAGTTAAGGCGCAGGACCGACGGCTTTACGTGCTCTCCGAGGCACGGGGGTGAAACACCGCCAACTTCCCAACTCCGGGCTGTCACTGAGGCTTACTATACAGAAAGACTCAATAACTAAACTTGGCCCGACCCGGGACTCGAACCCAGGACCTCAGGGTGTGCAGCCGTACATGCTAGCCACTACAGCACCGAGATACACATATACATACTATTGGAGACTTTTCTCTTTGAAGGATTTTATAAACTACGGACTGGTTCCTAGTAATCTGTATAAATCTGTATAAACGTGAAAGTTTGTGAGTATGTATGGATGTTTGTTACTCTTTTACGCCAAAACGGCGGAACGGATCTGGATGAAATTTGGCACGGAGATAGATAATCGTTTCTATTAACAAATAGTTTTATTCCGGAAAAATATACGGTTCCCGAGGGATAGATTCATTTTTGTATTTCTTTTTATATTATATAAAACTAGTTCCATGGCAAAACGAGTTCAAATAACCAAAAAAAGAATTCCAGCTTTATATGGATATATATACCTACTTAGTATTTAATATTATAAATGTGATAGTGTGTGTGTGTTTGTGTGTTTGTTTGTTTGTTTGTTTGTCTGGTCTTCTTTCATGTTGAAACAGAGTGTGATTTTTGTGTGGAGATAGTTGAAGGCTGGTCAGAAGTATATAAAGATATTTAATTTTAAATTTAAAAAAATATACAAATTACATAAATGAAATTATTCTGCTGAATATTGAAGCTTCAAAATAAATGTATGTTTTCGTAACTTATTTCTCTAGAAATAACTTATGATAAATAAAACCGAGCAGTAAAACTATTTATAGAACGCTAAATTTAGTTAGGACTTTCTAAGAATTTAATATTTACAATACGTGAAACACTCACATATTATGCACAATGT